GCATTGATAGTAGGACCCTAGATCAGAGACCGACGGTCGATAGATCTACTTGTATTGCAAAGGAATCATGAAAGCATGTTACGCGCGTGGAGGCTCAAGCCATTGGCTAAATAGCCGATAGAGACATAGCAGGTGGCTGATGCCATGCTCTTCTTAATAGATAGATCTATTAATCGATAGTGTCCAATCTAACACGCTATCAACAGATCGAGTCGGCTGATGCAGCATTGATAGCGAAATCATACCGGATACTGACAATCAATGAATCTATCTCTTAATCGAACACGACTTCAAACACCCGCCATGTACAATCAATATTGAGATAGATTAGTCATAAAAACAGGATCTAACGTCAAGATTTGAATTCAACTGTGATAGTAATCAGTAGACGATAGATAAAAATAATAAGACCAATAAATCTCAATCTAGATCGGACAATTGGTGATAATGTATTAAACAATAAACTATTCAACACAATATCGATAACTTTGATTAATACTGACGTTTATAAGAGATCAGTCATCTGTTGCAGCCTTGTAAAAGTTAATACAAATCGATAACTAATCTATACCGCAATTTGTGAGAGATCAGTCGTCTGTTGCAGCCTTACAAATAACAATATAGATCGATAACTAACTTATACCGTGACTCGCAAGAGATCAGTCGTCTGTTGCAGCCTTGCAAGTAACAATATAAGTCGTGACAGATACTCACAAACAAGCTGGAGGTGAGGTCGTCCGATGCAGCCCTGCTTGTCTAAAGAACTCGTTAAAATCTACTCTACTCCTACTCCTAAGGAGTGGCCTGAGCCGAAAAGTAAAGGTACTTGATTTGGTTGATCGATGAGAGATGTCTATTACAATAACCGGGGTTCAATATTTATACCCAAGGCTAAACTACGAGTCCTGATCCAGCAAGACCGATTACAAGAAAAAAAAACGAAAACATCCTAATTTAAGATAACTAGGACTCCAATCTTTTCCTTCTGTAGAGTCCGACATGTCTCTTCTGCTTTCGATCAATGTCACCTTTGTCGTTAGAGCTTCTCTTCGAGGTGACGAGATCATAACCTTCAGCCGATTCTGATGAACCAAATTCTGGTGTGTATTGGGAGAAGAGAAATATATATTAGAAAGTAAAAATTACAATTATTTAAGATAAAATTTGAATGTATAAGATCAAATATTTTGGGACGGAGAAAGTATACTACTTAAGATCATCTCCAAGAGTTCTCAATAATTTTTTTTCCAAAACCATGAAATTTTTTAACTCGTCAAAAATTATTGGGAGGAATAAATAAGACCATCCCAACAGTTTCAATAATGCACTCCTAAAATATAGAAGACAATTTTACATCAGGATTCACTACTTAAAGTTTCTCTACATTTTTGTTTGGCTTCAATTCTGCAATTCGAAGCAAGAAACGAAACAGTTCCAAGCGGCCAAACGCACCCAGAGGCCCTATTTGGATTCCATAGTCCAAAGTTTAGCCATTAAACTTTAGACCACTTTAACTCTTAGACTCATAAGGCATCAAACATGAGGTCTAAAGTAATGTCTAAAGTTTAGACCGTTTCACAAACTTTTGTTCTCAACTTTGTCAGGCTAAAATTTAGATCTAAGAATCCAAACAAACCTGAATATACATGGTTGCAATTCTTGCTGTGATTCACTCTATCAAAATTTAGTAACCTCTTACATTTAGCTTGTCAAATCCATGATGATTTTTTTACTAAAAAATGACTTGCCTAATCTTTGGCATTAAAAAAACCAATGAGGTCCCAAGAAATTGCTTCCTGTGGCCTTTGGATCCAACGGCTACGACAACGATATTGAACAATAAGAAATACTAGTATGTTTGATGTCCATGTACTAATTTTAGCTGCTGGAGTAACTGTTAATGCGAGTGGATTGAACAAACCTGGAGAAGAAGAAAAAAAGAGTGACAACTAGAAGCTTTACACGGTATTGTGTACATACAGCTCCGACACATGTAAGTACGTAGAAGTACATACGCTTACTACCTTGCCCTTGGTCGCAGAAGATCCCAGCAGGCGGAAGCAGAACCCCAACAAACACAAAACTGCAGCAGGAGAGAGAGAGAGCAGGATGAGAGAAGGACAGGTACGGTGGACCGGACTGGATGCAATGCATGTCCAGGTTCTCCTCCCCCAGCCTTCCCCTCGCTTCGCTGGAAAAACCGTCCAAACCTACGAGAAAAATAATGTTCTGATTAAAAAAATAAACTGAAAAGTACGGATTATAAGATAAACGAACATGGTCATGGCCTCATCACACTCACACCTGCTTATTCCATATTTAACTTGTTCGATTTTTTTTTTCAATCAAAACGATGTTTTCTTTCGCAACAATTTAATCAGAACTGTGTTTTTTAGCTTAGTTTTAGCCGAACTTTGACCAGCGCACGGGGCCGGAGTCGTACACATACGAGTACCATCGACGCAACGCAAAGCAAAGCATCAGAGGAAGTTGATGCCCTGCCTGCTGCTAATTGCAGGTTCAGAGTATGCCATCGCCATTGCTGCCTCCCATTGCCATTTGCAGGGGAGCAAACGGAACCAAGCCCACCCATGTCCATCCATTCCTCTCTTCTCTTGTCAGTGGGCGTGTTTTATTCACTTTCGAGAGCTGGCCCGACTAAGCCCAAACCTAGCTCCAGAATATAATACAAGAGAGCTATGTTTAGTTTATTTATACTAGCGAAAGTCTAGCTTGTCTTGATCATGTTTGGTTCTGTAGCTAGCTTAGATAGGATTAGGGGTATTTGGTTCGAGCTACTAAACTTTAGTAGCTACTAAATGGTTTAGTCACTTTTATTAACTTCAGAGTTATTAGAGAGGACTAAAACTCTTTTAGTAGCTTTTAGTCATAGTGTTTGATTAAAAAATTACTAAAATGATTAAAAGCTACTAAATTTAGTAGCTGCTAGACGAACGAAATAGGCCCTTATTCTTTTCCCTGTGACGGTGGGTTTTAGTTAAAACCACCTCTCCCTCATCCCTTGTTCGGACTGAGGGTGTAGAGGCATGGATAAGAGTGGCAGCTGATGAGGTGGAGGGCGGCTGGCAATGTGGCTGAGGCGATGCAGAGAACAACAGTGCCTGTTTAGTTCTCAAAATTTTACAATTTTTTTTTGAGATTTTTCGTCACATCGAATTTTTGACGCATGTATGAAACATTAAATATAAATAAAAAATAAAACTAATTACACAGTTTAGACGAAATTCACGAGACGAATTTTTTAAGCCTAATTAGACTATGATTGACACTAATTGTCAAATAACAACGAAAGTGCTACAGTACTATTTCTAAAAAAAAAATTCGTCAACTAAACAAAGCCCTAGGGTTGATATAATTTTTTTAATGTCATGACGGATATAATTGGATTGCAGGATACAAGTGCTTGGCTCTTTTTTTTCATTTTTTTACCTTATATTTTTATTTTTCTGAGGAGACCTAAACACGGTTTAACCGCTACGATTAGTGGTGCGCGTCTGCCGTAAAAACAACCAAGAAGATATTTTGGCCGCAGTTCTTCTCCTTTTGTTCCATTCCATCCAAGATCAAGGAGGAGGAGGAAACGCAAAGGAAAGGAAAAAGGGGAAAGTGGCTAGGGAAAGGGCCGCACAAGCAACAGCAGCCCCTGTGACCAGGTGATCCTCATGTCACCCTCCCCTCACTGACAGCTGGGACGGAGGAGGAGCCTCTCTCTTCAGTCTCCCACTCACTCGTCCACCTGCTGCTTTGCTTGGTGGTTGGTGCTTCGTTCTTCCTTCTTCCTTCTTCCTTCTTCCTGTTCGTGTTCGAGTCCAGCACTCCAGCCGCAGGAACGAGCTGCTGTGACTGTGAGCCGCCTGACCCGACGAGTCCGAGCGACAGCAAGAGACGCACGAGCGATCTGCGTGCGTGCTCCTACCGCCTACAAGTTTTTGGCTTTCTCCATATTTTACCTCCCATCCTCGGCGGCTCCTCCTCTCCTCGTCGTCTTCTTCCTCCTCACCCCGCCCGTTTCCTCTACCCTGCAGCAGCTGCAGACTGCAGTTGCATCCCCTCTGGCCCGTTCTCCAAGTATCTCAAGCATCACCTCCTCCTCCCTCTTCGTCCTGCTCCATCCATCCCCATCCCCAGGTTGGTTGCTGCTCGGTTGGGTCGGTCCACCAATCCATCCATCCGTTTCCATCTGATTGCTCTTGTTGCTCTCCTCCGTCTGCCTCTCCTCGCTAATCAGGCCGCCTGCAGATCTGGGTGCGGCCCTCCCCTGCTCTCCAGCATCACCTGCTCCCGAGCGTCGCAACAACAACCGCCCCTCTTTTTTTTCTTCTTTGCAATTTGATTCATTGAATTAGTGCTGCTGATACAGAACAACAGTTTTCAGTTGGAAACAATTCGATCCGTTTCTGATTGAAGAGGGGCGCACACAGAGTCCTGAACTTTTCCAGGCAAGTTCGTTCAATCAGGGAGGATTCAAAAATGGTTTCCATCCATCTTTCCAGGGAATGGGAATCCCACACCCACAGCACCCGCCTGGGAGTCCTGAAAAATCTCTCGTCGAAATGGTATCTGATCCTTCTCCTTTCTTTGCTTTGCTCTGCTGCAGGTACATACAGATGGTGCTAGTGCGGGAGAGGTCCCCAAGCCGTGGCCTTTTTCTTCCCCGGCCCGGAGTCGCCGCCATTTCGGACCAACCAAGGCGGCGGCGCTAAGCTCCTGCTCGCTTTCCTTCCTCTTGGACGCTACCGCAATGCCGCTAGCGTCATTATAAATCGGCAGCGCTAACCACATGGTACGCTCCCCAAATGCTAGACTATGCGAAAGTTGCAATCTTTTTCTCGTTTCTCCTCGCCAACTTGCCAATTTGGTCGTCCTTGTTTGCATCAGCAGCAGCGGCGCAGCTGAACTGGACCCACCAGACGATGCTTTGCCCGAGATCCGGATGCTCATCCAGACGGAGACTCCATTCCTCCTCTTCCCCCATCGCCATGCGGATGCGCTGGCTCCTCCTCTTCGCGCTCGCCGCCGCCGCCCCCGCCGCCGGCGAGATGGGGTACGCGCATTGCGGCTGCGACGGCGGCGGTGGCGGCGCCGGCGCAGGCGGGTTCTGGAGCCTGGACAACATCTTCAAGTGGCAGAAGGTGAGCGACCTGCTCATCGCGGCGGCCTACTTCTCCATCCCGCTCGAGATCCTCTACTTCGTCGCGGGCCTCCGCCACCTGCTCCCGTTCCGGTGGGTGCTGGTCCAATTCGGCGCCTTCATCGTGCTCTGCGGCCTCACCCACCTGCTGGCGGCCTTCACCTACGAGCCCCACCCGTTCATGGTCGTGCTGCTCCTCACCGCCGCCAAGTTCCTCACGGCGCTCGTCTCCTTCCTCACCGCCATCACGCTGCTCACGCTCATCCCGCAGCTGCTGCGCGTCAAGGTCCGCGAGAGCCTGCTCTGGATCAAGGCCCGCGAGCTCGACCGCGAGGTGGTGCTCATGAAGCGCCAGGAGGAGGCCAGCTGGCACGTCCGCATGCTCACCCAGGAGATCCGCCGCTCGCTCGACCGCCACACCGTGCTCTACACCACGCTCATCGAGCTCTCCAGGGTGCTCGCGCTCAACAACTGCGCCGTCTGGATGCCCTCCGAGGACAAGTCCGGAATGTGCCTCACCCACGAGCTCCGCCGGGGCAGCGACGACGACGGCGAGGCCGTCGTCGCCACGGACGACGCGGACGTCCTCGAGGTCAAGGGCACCGACGGGGTCAAGCTGCTGCCGCCGGACTCGGTCCTTGGGTCCGCAAGCGGCGGCGGCAAGGAGGGGACCGGCACCGTGGCCGCGATTCGGATGCCGATGCTCAAGGTCGCCGATTTCAACGGTGGAACGCCCGAGGTGATCAAGACGAGCTACGCCCTGCTGGTTCTGGTGCCGCCCAGCGACAGGAACTGGGCGCCGCACGAGTTGGAGATCGTCGAGGTGGTCGCCGATCAGGTGGCCGTCGCGCTCTCACACGCCTCGCTGCTGGAGGAGTCGCAGGCTATGCGCGACAGGCTGGCCGAGCAGAACCGCGAGCTGCTGCAGGCGAGACGGGATGCTCTCATGGCGAACGAGGCCAGGGACGCGTTCCAGCGCGTCATGAGCCAGGGAATGCGGAGGCCCATCCACTCCATCCAGGGACTGGTGTCCGTGGTGCAGGAGGGCCTGACGTCCGAGAAGAAGCTCGTCGTCGATACTATGGCGCGGACCGCAACCGTCGTCTCAACGCTCATCAACGATGTCATGGAGATGTCCACTGCCAACCAAGAGCGCTTTCCGCTGGAGACGCGGCCATTCCACCTGCACTCCATGATCAGGGATGCTGCCTGCGTTGCCAGGTGTCTCTGTGACTTCAGGGGGTTTGGCTTCGCGGTGCACGTCGAGAACATGCTGCCGGACCTTGTCATTGGCGACGAGCGGCGGATTTTCCATGTCTTGTTGCACATGGTTGGCAATCTAATTGGTCGGATCGATGCGGGGAACGTCACGTTCCGGGTGCGTGCTGGTGATGAGCCGATGGAGGACCAGAGGTGGGATCCATGGAGGCCAAGCTACTCCGGTGGGCACTCATCGGTCAAGTTTGTGATTGGGGTGAAGAGGCAGCGGAATGCTGACTCGTCAGGTTCGCTTGCGCAGTTCTTGCGGAGGCCAAGAACCGAAGGGTTTGATCTCAGGCTCAGCTTCAGCATGTGCAGGAAGCTTGTGCAGGTACTCTGAAACCATTATGCGTGTCCTTTGCATTTTGTGCAGGCAGGAAGCTTAGAGACATTTGTGTTCAGTCACTAAGGGCGTGTTTAGATCCAAAAAATTTTGGGTTTTGGCCACTGTAGCACTTTCGTTTGTATTTGGCAATTAGTGTCTAATTATGGACTAATTAGGTTCGAAAGTTTCGTCTCGCGATTTCTCACCCCAACTGTGCAATTAGTTTTTTTTTCGTCTATATTTAGTACTCCATGCATGTGCCGCAAGATTCGATGTGACGGGTACTGCGCAAAATTTTTTGGAATCTAAACGGGGTCTAATATTTTGCCTTGTGATGCTCTCTCTCAACAGATGATGCAAGGGAACATCTGGGCAATTCTTGACGGGCAAGGACTCCCAGAGAGCATGACCCTGGTCCTGAGATTCCAGCTTCAACCATCGCTGGCGAGCTCCAGCCTTGGAGGATCATTTGATCTGCAGTACCCATCGCTATCTAACCAAATAGCCGGGCTGAAAGTTCTGCTCATCGACGACGATGAGATCAACCTAGTCGTGGCGCGGAAGCTCCTGGAGAGGCTAGGCTGCACTGTATCCTCGCTCCCCTCAGGCTCAGGGTTCATGAACTCGGTCGGCCCTTCCTCTGCCTCGTTCCAGCTCGTCATGGTTAACCTCGAGATGTCGACGATTAATCCCCTGGATGCTGCCTCGAGGATCAGGCAGTACAGGAGCTCGCACTGGCCCCTGGTGATGGCCATGACATCGGAGCAGAACGTGTGGGAGAAGTGCGCACATTCAGGGATCAACGGCGTCCTGAAGAAGCCGCTTGTTCTGCAGGAAGTGAAAGAAGAGCTCACGCGGATTCTTCAGAACACATGATACTTACAACTACTGGCGGGTTCCTTTGCTGCCTGCCAAGAGCTCTGAACTCTGAAGTAGCCAAACATGGAGCCACCATGACTGACAATGAATACGACCCCACTGTCTAGCATTGCAGAAGATTTTTTTTTTTTTTTACAGGCCATCGGAATGCGATGGCTGTCGAGGGTTTCTGGTGTCTTGCAGCACAATTGCTGGAGGATGGCAAATGGTAGTGAAATGGCAAATGACGATGTTTTCAACTTGTTTTTTCAGCTGGAACAATGTTTTTCTCTCACAACAAATCAGCCATGAGTCCAGGACAGTGTTTCGGCTTTTTTCAGCGAAGCGAACGGGGTCTGAGAATGAAGGAGAGTCTGATACCTTAGAGTCCTTCATAGAAACTTGGGTGGTGGTATGTAATGGCCAGTAGTGGCAATAAGGCTGAAGTTTTGTAAGTTAGCTAACCTGGTTGTAAGGATCTAAATGGAGGGAGTTCGACAATTGTATTTACCACTACCTTTTAGGAATGGAGGAATGACCCACTCATTCCCCTTATTGCTGCTGGTAACCTGCTGGCGGTACAAGGGTTTCTATGGAATCGTAGGATATCTAAAACACGGAAATAGAAAAAAAAAACGCAGTATTGGAGTTGTTTGTTAAATGCAATCCTATAGAAATTGGAACTGCAGTCCTACAGCATTTGATACAACACAGGAGAAACACATGAATTAGAAGAGAAAAGATAGACAGAGAAGTTTCTATGTTAAACCTCAGGTCAGATTTCCTCCAAAATTTGTATGAATGAAGCCACTTCGTAAGAATTTTGTGGGATTTAAGTATGGCCAATCCTTCGTTTCAAAGGTCTACATAGGGGGGGAAAATCCTTCAACTTTACAATTCTATAGAATTCCTTCGTGAATCCTAAGTTTTAGAGAGTGCTTGTATGTGTTGAGACGAACCGCAAACGGTTGGTTCGCTGCACCAGCACGTAGTAGTTTCAGAGATTGTATGCATCGTTGACTTGAGAGAGGTGTAGCATCAGCATGAGATGAGACGCGAGCACTGAGCAGAGTAGACATGAATCTCGAGTGAGAGTTGAGAAGTGGGCATGGAATGGATCGAGGTGGTGACGACGACGGATTTGGCAGGTAGTTAAGCACGAGGGCCGCGTTATCCGATCGATGATATTCATGCAGACCTCGCATCCATCACATGACATGACACTGATGCAAGGAGTATTTTCCTTCTCAGGTTTAGATTGCAAGTTTTTTCGCTCTCACTCTATCATATCAAATCTTTAGACACATGTATGGAGTATTAAATGTAGATAAAAAAAATAACTAATTACACAGTTTAATTATAAATTACGAGACGAATCTTTTGAGCCTAGTTAGGTCATAATTGGACAATAATTATCAAATACAAATGAAAGTGCTACAGTATCAAATACTAATTCCTAATCCCAATCTAAATAAGACCCCGTAATCCCATTGCCTGAGCTTTCAGGTAGGATTCACATCACATGGAGATTACGATAGGTAGTACAGAGACGGGATGCGTCACCAATAATCCGTTGCCTGAGGAAAGTTGACAAGCTGGTCAGTCCAGCTTGTTTAGATAGCGGTTAGGAATTAATATTTGGCGTGGTAGCATTTTCGTTTGTATTTGATAATTATTGTTCAATTATAGCCTAATTAGGCTCAAAAGATTTGTCTCCTAATTTACAATCAAACTATGTAATTAGTTATTTTTTTTATCTACATTTAATACTCCATGCATATGCCCAAAGATTTGATGTGATAGAGAGAGAGTGAAAAAACTTGGAATCTAAACAGGCCCAGATACAATGCACTTAAAAATCGGGCATGTGGGGCCCACCACTCACCTGAAGGAGAAGATCTGTGTTTTTCAAGTGGACAAGACACAAGAGAGAGGTGCGGAAGCATCAGGATCTTGCTTCAGCCTTTTTTATTTGACTCCCGCCGGTGTGCTGTTTCTGAATCCCTATGCCTTTTGCTACAGTGTACTCCACTCAGGCCTTGTTTGCAACAAGGATTTTTTCCCCCTGTGAAACTACTCGTTCTAGTCAAATTCTTGTGCAATAAAACTACAGTACAGGCCATATACACATACAGAAGCTCCAAGTGGGTGCAATAATCCATTTAGTCCACAACTAGTTAGCTTGTTGGCATATCAAAATCTACAGAAATTTTAGTATGAAAAATCTGAAGCGCAAGCCCCTGGTACCATTGTACTATGTCGCTGAACTGCTGAAGCCGGCTGCAGGATAAATAAGGCCTTATTTAGTTCGCGGTTAGGAATCAGTATTTGACACTGTAGCACTTTCGTTTGTATTTGATAATTATTGTTTAATCATAGTCTAACTAGGCTTAAAAGATTCGTCTCGTAATTTACAATCAAACTATGTAATTAGTTATTTTTTTATCTATATTTAATACTCTATACATGTATCCAAAAATTTGATGTGATGAAGAGAGAGTGAAAAAACTTAGAATCTAAACCAGGCCTAAATCTATACTACATTGTACTCCTAGGAATATAATGGAATATATGGATCATGATTGAAGCGGGCCTGTTCGGCTGGTATTAAAGCCTACTGATAAGCCGGCTGAAGCTGTTTTATTGTGAGAGAAAAATACTCTAGATTTTAGCTGATAAGTTTAAGCGAACATGCCTGCAGTAAGTTCAACAACCTTTTCCAGAGAACTGGTACAACATCTTTGAATGTTTGAAACTAACATACTAACTCTGTTATTTTATAAATCCACTTGCTAGCCAGAAAAGGTCCCCAGATCCTCTGAAATCGGACATTTGTCAGCATGTAAGGATATGGTATAAATCTTGGCTGAACTACTGATGAGCTCATGTCATAGTATATATATGTGGATGCCTGTCCCTTCCTGAATTTGAACGTTTTGAGGTGATGTAGAACTTTTTGTCAGGGGCAATATTTGAGTTGTTTGATCAGTTGGTTAAAGATCGAACATGTCATCAACTCATCATCGGGCAAAAGAAATCTTGGCTGTTGTGACACTATTGGTGATCAGAATTGCAATTTCAGATGAATCATCATGATTAACTAGATGCATTGGGGGGGTATATTGTCTTCATAGATAAACTATAAGAAATAATACGTATAATATATGAATCGTGAATAAAATGTTTATAGATGAAGCAGTTCTTCTATATGCTCTGAATCTCTGAACCTTTTTTTTTTTCTGCTGATGTCTTATGGTTCAGAGTAAGTTCAAATAAATACTCTTAAGTATCCTAGATTAAAAATGTGTGACTACACGCTGTTAGTAGATTTCATAAACAGTTCCCTCATAATACATGCTTATGAACATTGAGCACTGAAAGCACGAATATATAACGATCCATTGATGAGCCTTTAATTTGCTTTCCCTTTAATTTACATGAAGAAAAAAACAATGAAAATAGTTGTTTTATTTTTTTTCTTAGGGTGTATGGGTGGTGATCTAGCCTTTGTATCAATAGTTACTAGAGTGTGCATGGTTTTGTGCTTTATGTCAAGTTCTTTTTTAAACTCTGTATCATCTGAATGTGATGTCTTGAAAAGTTAATAAGAACTTCCTTTATCGAAAAAAGGTTTTAGAATATAACTAATGCTAATCACATATTGGTAGCTAGCCATTAACCTCTCTTTCAAATTTTCTGGAACTTGTGTATTCCCTAATGTATTCCAGTTAGTCATGTAAATAACTAGCAAAAAAATTCAGATATGCAGGTCGATCATTTTTCACTAAAACACAAGAATATCATTTATTTCTGCGGTCATGGAACATGAGAAATAAATCCAAACAAACAACAGCCTGAAGAATTAGGAAAGAGCTTATTAGTTCAGATGCACCGACTAATCTTCAGTATTGAATTATTGGTACGTATCGTGAATGCATGTATTAGCAAAACTGATAAAAATTTCCTATGAATCGAATTACTCATTTTAAAGCATGCATTCACAAATCCTGCCAAGAAATCGTCTGTGGTTCTTTCTATAATTAATCCCTTATTAACTGATCGATCTAAAATCACTCCATTGGTTCGATCTCTTGTACGTAATCCGTGCAAAAAAAAGTAATCAACTAAGCACTGATGAGGCAGTTAGCTTGATTAGCGAGAAAGAAATGGCTGTAATATAAGAACCACGCGCATATATATACATACACTGAAAGCATGGAGCTGAATACTCGATCGTGAGGTCATGATCCTGCACCTCCAAGCCTGAGCTCCAAGTCGAGCTCCTCCCCTCCATCCCCCTCCTCGGCGATGGCGAAGTAGCGATCTTCTCGTACATCTTCGGCGGCCGCGCCGCTGCCACGGACGGCAGCGCAGCAGTCACCGCGGCCGAACAGAGGCAGGAGCTCGTGCGGCTTCCGTTGGGCGTGCAACGCGGCCACACCGCCGGCCGCCGGCCGAGTCGTAGCCTGTTGGGTGAACGCCAGAACGGGCGTCGTCGACGTCGTCATCGTCGAGCACGGCTGCTGGTCGTAGTAGTAGACACTGGCGGCGCTGCTTCCCACTGCGGCGCCGGCGGACACTGCTGGTCTGCCCCTGTGCCGACGGTGCACGTTCATGTGGCCGCCGAGCGCCTGCGCCGTCGGGAACCCCCTCCTGCAGAAGGTGCACTTGTACGGCTGCCTTGTTCCCTCGTCGTCGTCGTCGTCGTCGTCGTCGCCTATGGCGCGCTGCTGCTGCTTCGGCAGATCCTTGTCGCCGTCGGCCTCGCTGCTCGGGGACAACGACGATGGCGACGCCCGTGCACCTGCAGCCTCGTGGTCCTTCCTCTCTGGCCCCAACTCCATGTGCTTGTGATGATCTATCAGTTGTCAGAGTAGAGTCTGGAGCAAGGTAGGGTTTAGCTACCTAGCTAGGCTTGGTAATAATCTGTGAGGCTGCTACCTCGCTCTGCAGTCGTGGAGACGACGACACCAGCAAGCAGAAGCTAACTTGCTGCTTGGGGCCGGCCGGCCGAGGAT